TTATAAATACCATGAAACATATATGATGTCGATGAAAAATAAGGAGTGAAGCAATGTGACATGACCCTCTGAACCAAAAAAAAAATTTCGTTAAAATGATTTTATTATAAGAAGAATAGTAATACCGCACTTTCTACAGAAAGTTGGGTATATTGTTGTTAACTTGGTCCATCTGACACACAAGATGGGCAACCCAAAGTAAATAAATCTACTTTAAAATTTAATTCTTACTAAGTATTAGACTTATTGTTTTGTTGATCCCTTATCAGAATATTTTATTGTTTTTGAGCAACATAGCTTCATCCATTAGTTTATTTTTATTTTATTTCATTACTTCTAAGAATTCTAACAGTGTTGAATTATGCTCTGGTACCAGTAAGTCCTTGGGCCTTTTTGTAGTTTCCAGAGCCAACCTGGGTATTCACCGCCTGGCTTTATTTCTGTGTCATTCCTATGTTCGTTATGTTTGTGTGAATATATATATATTTATATATATTTATATATATATATATATATATATATATATATATATATATATATATATATATTACACAATCTTCTTAGCTCATCCATATAAATTTGAGTTGAGCTTATGCTATAGCACACTTATGTTTTATCCCCTTCATTGGTTTTGATGTTGGCAACCCTCTTAAAATTTTAAGAGTTCTATTCCTAAGTAACTATAAGCCTACACTGTACCTGGACCAAACTTTTATGGATGATAAATCTAGGGATAGACACTACCAGACTCGCTTCAGATGATGGATCTGACCTACATTTTCCAGATGAGTTGCCATGTTCAAGTTTTGGAGCAAATCCATTCTTAAGTAACTACAAGTCCTACCTGGACCAAACTTGCACAGATGATGCATCTCGGGACACTCTACCTGTCCTGCTTTGGATGCTGAAGCTGATTTTTTTTTCAGATGAGTGAATATTAGCTCCACCAGAACCAAACTAGCATGGATGATGTACATGTATCTGGGGATAGACTCTACCAGACCTGCTTTGGATGCTAGATCTGACCTACATTTTCCAGATTTGTGAGCAGGATAATGATGAAATCAAGTGCATTTCAATGATATGATTTAATATGCAAATTTATCATCACCCACTATCAAAGAAGAACATCTTTTAATTGCACTTTAAATGTGCATGATTGTATAATTCTTAAGTAGATTTGAAAATGATATAAAGACTACTCGCTCTTTTACAAAATTAGGTATTCCAAAGAGCTCGCGCAAGTGCCCCTTCCCTCAGGATGAGATCGACTCAGTCATTATCCAGTGGTCTGATGAGACATCACAATGAGGGGTCCAAGAGAGGGTATTGTCTACGTTACTCAATGAGATGGATGGAATCGGAATCAGATTGGATGAGAAAACAGATTCTTTAGAAACAGGAGAGGTATAAATCTGACCTCTCTGAGGTGGATATAAGAATTTTAGTCATGGATAAAAACATTCCAGTGATGTACATACATGTACATATAAATGCTTGAAGTAATGAAAATCACAATGCTTTATGTGCCTTATTTCTCATGGAAATTTAGGTGTTTAAATAGCATTATACTATGGGTTAAATAATTGTCACAGAAACATTTAGTGCCTGTGGTTATATGGTATGAAGAAAAAAGAAGTTCTAAGATGGATTAGTCTAAGACATAGCCAAAAAGTGTATTAGTACTTTAAGTAATTGCCACATCAACTGGACATGGATAAAGCTTTCACCTGCAGACGGGACAGATTTGACAGATCAGTTTTTGTACCCCCACTGGATATACATATGAATTGATACATGTTTACATGATGCATATTTTTAGCTCTTCTGAGCGAAGACTCAAAGAGCTAATGCTATTGCCAAATGTGCAATGTGCGTTAACTTTTTAGAATATGGTATATGGGCCAAATCTCAAGATTTTGTCAAATTTGTCACAGAGTATTCTTGTTTCAATTAAGATCTTTTATTTATACTAAAAGTAAGGATGTGACTCTTAAACAAAGGAGATAAGGTAAATAAAAAAAAAAATAGTGGTTGCTTAAAAATATCAAGAACCAAGAAATTAACAACAAACTTATGCATAAGGACGAGGATATGTTGTTGTAGATTATAATTATTCAAGGCACCACCTAGATGCAGAGGACATGATCTTAAGGTCACTTTGAATTTAACCTAAAATTATGTTTTGTTAAAACATATTTTGCTCACAATAAGTTCATGTCCAAGGATCATGAAATCTTCATGCCAAAACATTGACAATTGATTTTACTACCAGTATTCTATAGCCATAAAAATTTATGAATATATTTTTATCCCCCGCCATGAATATGGCCGGAGCATATAGTGTTTGTCATGTCCGTCCTTCTGTCCTTCCGTCACACTTTGTGTTTAGCTCTGTTCAAAGCTCAGTTTCAAAGAAACTATCCAAGATATTTTTATCAAACTTCATATGCTGATAGATATTGATGAGAGCTATGCAACTGCATTAACATTTTCTGACCTTGACCTTTCCTTTGACCTTGACCTCAGTTTTCTTAAATAAGTGTTTAGCTCAGTTTTAAAGATACCATTCAAGATAGTGTAATCAAACTTCATATGTTGATGCATACTGATGTAAGCTATTCAACTGTATCAACATTTTTTGACCTTGACTTTTCTTTTGACCTTGACCTCACTTTTCTTAAATTAGTGTTTAGCTCAGGTTTAAAGATACCATTCAAGATAGTGTAATCAAACTTCATATGCTGATACATACTGATGTAAGCTATTCAAATGCATCAACATTTTTTTTACCTTTCTTTTGACCATGACCTCACTTTTCTTGAATTAGTGTTTAGCTCAGTTTTAATGAAACCATTCAAGATATTTTTAACAAACTTCATATGCTGATACATACTGATGAGAGCTATTCAACTGCATCAATTTTTTTTACCTTGACCTTTCCTTTGACCTTGACCTCACTTTTCTTAGTTTTAAAGATACCATTCAATATAGTGTTGTCAAACTTCATATGCTGACACATACTGATGAGAGCTATTCAACTGCATCAACATTTTTTGACCTTGATACTGCATCAATATTTTTTTACCTTGACCTTTCCTTTGACCTTGACCTCACTTTTCTTAGATTTGTGTTTAGCTCAGTTATAAAGAAATCATTCATAATATTTTTATCAAACTTCATATGCTAATACATACTGATGTTACCTTTTCAACTGCATCAACATTTTTTGACCTTGACCTTTCCTTTGACCTTGACCTCACTTTGTCAAACTTCATATGCTGATACATACTGATGTAAGCTATTCAACTGCATCAATATTTTTCACCTTGACCTTTCCTTTGACCTTGACCTCACTTTTCCTAATTTGTTGTTAAAATGTCGCATTACTAATATACCCTCGGCGGGGCATTCATGTCCTATGGACATATTTCTAGTTTTTATATATGAAATATTTTTAATCCAAGAAAATCTCAAATTGTCTCCATTCCATTGCAATTGTCATACACAGGAAAACAAACAAATTGACCCTCTGGTGTTAAATGGAACCTTAGAATCATGTGACCTAGCTACTGGTAATTCATTTCTCTCTGTAGAAGAAACAATTAAGGCTGTTAGTAGAATATGTAGTTTGTTTAAATCATGATCCCCATGTGGTAGAGTTTGGCCATTACAGGGCATCAAAGTTTTGCATAGAAATACGTAGGAAAAAATCTTTTTCTTAAGAACAGCAAAGCTGCTTTTATTTATAATACCCGGTATGTGTATTCTAGCTAACTTATTTAGTACATTATTTTTAAAGACTACTGAGGAGATTTGTATATGTTTTATATTTGGTCAGGTTTCTTGGTGATGGACATGATGGATGGGCAACTTAAGCTTAGACCAACCAGAAATCAAATGTATGTGTAAAAAGAGAAGATAAAGAATTAGTTTTTAAATGAATCATGAGAATATTTCCATGTTACCAATTTAAAAGCATTTAAGTGTTTAAAGGGCACTACAATATAGGAAGGGTATTTTTCCAGTTCAAAATACTGTTTGACTAATGCATGGTAAATATTGTAAGATCCATGGTGAAATCTGGCTCATTCCAAAAAATGTTTTTAATGATATTTTAGATAATATTTTTACCTAAGCTAAAAGCTCATGTGAGCTATTCTGATCACATTCTGTCTGTCTCCTTCTGTCCATCAGTCTATAAACTTTTCACATTTTTTAACGTATTATCCAGAAGCACTGGGCTAATGTCAATCAAACTTGCCACAAAGCATTCTTGGGTTTTGTTCAAATGAACGGCCATGCCCTCTTTCAACCATTGGGCCAAATAGAATCTCAGGTGAAACCTCATCAAATAAGGTAGATTCAAGTTTGTTCAAATCATGACCTCTGGGGGTTGGGTGGGGCCACAATGGGTGATCGAAGTTTTACATAGGAATAGATTGGAAAAAATCTTCAAAAATCTTCTTCTTAAGAAGAGCAATGCAATATCTAATCATATTGATATGGAAGCATCCTCAGGTTGTGTAGATTTATGTTTGTTCAAATTGTGATCTTCAGGGGTAGGATGGGGCCACAGTGGGGATCAAAATTTTACATAGGAATATAGTTTTAAAATCTTAAGAACAGCAAAGCCGTGATTAGTCATATTGATATAGAAGCATCCTAGGTAGTGTAGATTCAAGTTTGTTCAAATCAAGACCCCTGAGGGTAGGTTTGGACCACAATCATCGTTTTAAATAGAAATATATAATAGAAAAAATCTGCTGATAAAGAACAGCAGGGCCATGTTGACTCAGGTGAGCATTGTGGCTCATGAGCCTCTTGTTATAATTGTAGATTTGAAGGTAACTGGGTTGCATATCTATGTTGTCAGATATTTTGCATGCATTAGAACTTCCACATTTACTCCTTATCAGCAAGTGTTCAAAATTTAGAGCTTTATTTGGTTCACTGTTCGTTTTGAAGCTTGTAAGGTTTTCAATCATTAAGTGAAAGCTTTTAAAATGAGGCTGTTTATTGGGTTTTCTTTACTTTTTGTCATTGGATCTAACTTTGCAATGGATGATACATTAAGAAGTGTACTACAGGAGTTAAACAATTTGAAAAAGACTGTTGCTGAGCAAGGGCAGATAATTCAATCTCTGCAGACAACCCTAGATTCAGTGACAGGCCAATTCCAGAAACAGCAAAAGGAAACTGTGCTTTTAAAATCTGAGCTTAGTGCAGTAAAGGAAAAGATTAACTGGCAACGGAATGAGATTCCAGAAACAAATCAAGGAACCAAACATGATGCTAAAATCTTCAAGGAAACAAACCAGGTTCGTCAATTCGTATTTAGCCTCGCAAGGAATAAAAATTAAGTGACAAATTAAAGGGGTTTGAATATATTCATGATTTTTTTTTATCACATTTTGAAGGCAGACAGTGTCATGTCCTTGAAATGTTGTACCTTTATTACCTATTTTTAAAGAGAAATTTTAGTTATACAGTATTTAAATCGTTGTTGATATATACTTTTATTTTCAGAATGAAACACTTGCATCAAAAATTGTTCCTAATGAGAAAAGACTTTCAAGGCATTTCTTGCACCTAAGAACAAAACGATTAAGTAAGTAAAGGGAATTTTATGAAATACTTGCTGTGAAAAAAATATTTATATAAAATAAACTATGCATGTTGATAATTTGAGATTTCCATCTTGTAACAATGGAAACAACGGGTTTCAAATTTACAGGATTAAAGTAAAAGTGTAGAAAAACATAAACAAAAACATATAAGCTGAAAAAAAAACAAACAATGCTCCTTTTCTTTCTTATTAAACTTGTTTGTTTAGCCTATCATCAATAATGCATAAATCTGGGTCTTTCAAAGAATTTCCTTTTCAATTTTCATTTACGTAGAAAATGAATGTTATAAAGAATAAGGTCAAAGACTAATTATTTCTAAAAGTCCCGTTTTTATTATTTTTCACTTTAATATCAGGACGGTATAAAACAATGTTTTTGTTTATGAACATTGCTGTTTCTTGTTTGCTTGTCAATTTTTTTTTGGACCCCCCCCCCCTTTTAAAAGAACGGGCCTGTCAAAGACATAATGATAGCTATTCAAAAGGCATAATAATGCTTTTTGGAAAAGCGTAATAACGTCTTTTTTGCATTATTACGCCTTTTAAGTTTTTCTCTATATATTGATCCTTATAGGCATTTGTAAATAAGCGACTACGCCAAATGAAAAAAAATCAAAGAAAATATAATAATAAGAAAATAAAATTTTATGTCTTTCAGTTAAAAGACGGATTTTTTTCAGTCATGAGTTTTTCTCTATATATTGATCCTTATAGGCATTTGTAAATAAGCTACTACACCAAATGAAAAAAAATCAAAGAAAATATAATAATAAGAAAATAAAATTTTATGTCTTTCAGTTAAAAGACGGATTTTTTTCAGTCATGAGTACATTTTAACATAAAATAAATCCTGTCCAAATCAAAGCGTTGGATATCCACTAGTAAACCATAATAAGGTCCTCTACACATGCAGCCTTGAGGATGCTGATTCCTTGTAAAACCATCTACATCTCTGATTAGTGATTTTACTTTACCTTGATACCTTGGGGGGGGGGGGGGGGGCTTAATTATGAAGTTTATTTGAATGATTTTCAGCCATGATCATAGTCCAATAACATCACATTATATCTGACCACAGGTATGCCATTCTGTAGTAAAGGTGTTTATTTCTATTTTGTTACCTTTAGTTTCTCCGACACTCGAAGTTGGATTTACGGCAGCCAGACATAGTGGCCCAACTGTTCACGAAGGTGGAATTATAGTTTTTGATACAGTCATAACTAACGCAGGTTCGGCCTATAACCCAACGACAGGAATCTTTAAGGCGCCATCTGAGGGACTGTACGTCTTCTTTTTCAACATTGAATGTTCTAAAGACAACGGTGATACTCACGCAGAACTTGTAAGAGATGGGGCTCGTTTAGAAATTCAGTCATACTGTCATGGACTGGGAGATTATGATAACAGTGATACGTTAGGGGTACTTCATCTGCACACTGGCGACACTATCTGGGTTAAATTATACGGTGGTGACAATAGAAATTTTGGATCAAAAACAATTTTTTCTGGATTTTTAATTTAGAGGTTGTTTAAATTCTTGATTAAATATGTACATTTTGTATAGATCAAAAGAATCTGGACTTTAAAAAGTCTCCTAACTGAAAAATACACTCCTCCTCCTGTGTGATTTATCAGTTTTCACTATTGATTTGATAATTTTTTGGACTAAAACGAATATAGATTAGGTGTTTGATTCACTATTTTTTGTAATTTGTATTTGATTAAGTATTTTTAATTAAAACAACACGTCATCTCTTTTCATTTTGATCATTCTATCATTAGTGAATGATATGTATTAATATATTTACCAATTATTAAACTAAGGCAGGCTACTTACAAATAAGTTGTATAACAAGTATTTTAATTGTTTTATTCCCTGTTCACAGATTTGTTTTTTTTTTTTTTTTGTTTTTTTTTTTGGTTTTGTTTTTGTTGTTGTTGTTTTTTTTTTTTTTTACAAAACAAAGAATTGATTCGACCCTTTTAATAGGTTATTGCTTCACAATGAGCAGTTTGGACTGAATTTCAGTGTTGAAAAGACGCTAAAACTTTTATTCTGCGAGTTTCTTCAAACAAAAACTAATCGGTGGCGTCTACGACCTACTGACACATTACTACCAAGCGACTGTGATGCATTTTATATATGTCATTAAAACAGAGCTTAAGTTTTCTCCAAAGCGAACGCAAAAAGTCCTCTAATGCATATTCGGAAATATCCCGATAACGAAAACGTTTTCAAAATATATGTACAATCTATCATTAAGTCAAATGCTGACTGACGTTTTTCATTCTAATTGTTAGGCCATTATTTACCCACTGAATTGTCGACGGATTTTTTCCGTTATTTCCCAATCATGACAAGGAGCACACGGTGGGTGTGACCGCTCGGCAGGGGATGCTTACTCCTCCATGGCACATGATCCCACCTTTGATGTTTTAGAGGTCTGTGTTTGATCTGCTCCTGATTTATTGTTTGAATAAGAAGAGAGTTCTCCTCTTACAGCTTTGATTTTTTCGGAAACAACACTTAGAATAGGATTAGAAAACGTCAGGATGGCCAATTCTGTATTTTAAATATAAACTAAAACAAATGTTTTGAGTCTACGTTGCAGGTGCTACTTTTACATGGTAAATACAAACCAGTAGAGCCACAGTCTCATCAGAGACTTCTGGTTTTAAAATGAATTTTAGAGAAAACATAATATGCATATCAAAATAGAAAAATCAGAATTTTTTTATTTGATGCAAGACAATTATTTAACCAACTAATTGCTTTTTGAGGCATTAATCCATTAGTACTGTGATGCTGTATCTAGCCCTATGCAAGCGACTGTTTAAAAAAAGGGGGGCAAATTTTTAAAAAATCTGACAAGAAAAAAGAAAAAACATATATATATATATATATATATATATATATATATATATATATATATATATATATATATATATATATATATATATATATATATATATATATATATAAATTCTTAAACTGACCAAAATGTGGGGGCCAATTTCCCAAAATAATCTTACAGCAAGAAAAAAGGAGGAGGACCTGCATATAAATGAAATTTTACTATAGCAAAATACTATACTCAGAAAAGTAGGGGTTGCTCCCCCCCCCCCCCCCCCAACTGCGTTCTACGGGCCGGGCCTGTTATGGAAACGTATTTTTAACATTTGGATAGTATTGGGGAGAACCTTTTACATCCCAGATTTCGTAAATGGAATACGTCTGCTATTTGATCGGATTTACTTAATAAAATGCTTTCTTTTTTTGTTAGTACATGTATGGGAATTAATATTACAGCTCTTGCAAAAAAAAATGTTATTTTTCTCTGCAATAGCTCTTACAAACAGAGAAAGACACTTTATTTTTCTATTTATACATGTATAAATAATCATACTAAGTAGAAGAAGTACGTTAAGTATTGTATTATTGATATGTATGTCAAATCACAGGAGTTCGCATACCTATCAATTTTAACGAAATTTTCAGTAAATATAAAATATACGTAATACCTATAATAATAATGTGTTATTATAATAGGTATTATACGTACTTGGTAAAATTGATAGGTATGCTAACTCCTGTGGTTTCATCGACGGAAGAGCTGCTGCTCAAGGAATTTACACAGGTGGCTTGCTTTAACGGGGTTTACTGATTGATAAACGACTGAGGTTTTCATAAGGAATAAAGGAAATAATAATCAGTGGATATCAATATTAATATAATCATAAAGAATATTCTCTTTTAATCTATAAACTCATTAATAACAACTAATGTAAATATATATGTCGTTTTCATCCAATTCTTAACGCATTTGGGTAATGCCTTTCCAAGTGCCGTGAAAAAAAACTATAAACTTATTAATAACAACTAATGTAAATATATATGTCGTTTTCACCCAATTCTTAACGCATTTGGGTAATGCCTTTCCAAGTGCCGTGAAAAAATGCAAAGCACTGAGTCTAGTTTCTTTATATTTTCTTTTCGTTGGGATCACGAATCTGAGTGGAATTTTCCTGATGTTTTTGATCGGAATGTTGTAAAAATATTTTCCCAATCATTCTTCTGCTGAAAAAAATTATATCTCATGAAAATGCACTTATCATGAATAATTAAAATGTAACCCTTGTGTACTTATACCGTATTCCATAGACGTATACTAAATTGTGTTGTTACGATCGGGTTCACAATTGACCGATTGGCTGCCTTTACCAAATGAAATTTAATTTCCGTCATGTTGTTATTGTGCTCTGGTCAAGAACGGACGAATGGGGGGCAAGCAAATAAATTATTAGTACCCAGAGGAAAGCATTGTACTGTTTTTGGTTTAGGTATGATTTTGTGCAATCAATTTTTTTGTCGGACAATTATCAATCCATTGATTTTGAACAACAGTTACAGGTTATTTCTTGTATCTAACAGCAAACTCGATATAGTTATTTGATCACCTTTTTTACTGGGCGAACAATTCTAAGGTAAATATTTACCAAGTTGAATCGACGAAAAGCTTTCCAACATGTAATTATCAGTTTAAAAGCTCATTTTTTCCCCTGAAGATCAAAGATCATTTTATTGCAGAATCGCTAAAAAAAATTCTATTGACCCTTAAGGCCCGAAATGATGATGGAATCCGCGCATTTTGTGGCCAGAATATCAATAAAAAATTCTCCCTATTGTGATTAAGACAACGGAGTAATATTTTGACTCATAAATGGATTGTTGAGTATCGTATGGTGATCGATTACGAACACACTGCATGCAAGGGTTTCACATGTATATACACAAGTGGGGAAAGCAAACCGAAAACAGAATTCCTATCCCTGTCATATCTCGGATAAATTATCCATAAATCGGTCGCAGATCCTGCTCAAAGAGTCCGTTTTAGACATGTCCTCTTCCACTAATTGGCAATTGAGTGTATTGTCTTTTTAGAGAGCAGTTATAACTCATGGAATTATGCAATTCATTGTTGAGAGCTTAGTGTATTTATCGATATGCTGACAGGAATTGGCGAGAATTTCACACATCGGGTAAGGTTTTTTCTTTCACTTTTTTCAAAAAAAAATGTATTCATTGATTTGAATAATCGGAAGGGTTTCAGAGTATATCCAAAATCTGTTCTTAATATATTCCATTTTTCCCAATAGAAAAACAGAAGGTAAAAATTATAATTCGGAGCTCGATGGTCAGTTACACAAAATTTGGGTTTAACTAAGCAGACTTTGGCTGAGTGTTTGATAAGAATGACACAGATCAACTTTGGATTTTGTTCTGGTGAGCTGAACGTAAATGCTTCTACGATGACGAGTTTTACGCATTCAATTCCATTCGGTTTGCTTTATTTTCTACGAAAGACTTTTACCTCCAGAGGACCTTTAAAATATTTTAATTTGGTCGCAGACAGAACATTTGTGTTCTTTCGATATACATCTAGTTTATCTCCTTTTACTTCTAAAATTTTATCTTGATATTAATGATATATGATTAAAACTTATTTGAATAAGGGAAATCCTTACATCAGAACAAAAATCATTGAATACATATATTCACAAAAGTCATTAAATACATGTATTTATCTGCGAAAAACAAACATATATGCTGCTGTGAAATGTTGATGATGACTATGAACATTCCCGGATTTGGGTTTATCGGACAAACTGCATGTTAAGATATGAATTATTTTGAAAAAGAGGGAGAGAAACATTGTAAGAAACAATGCTCTAGAAGAGCCAGACAGAGAGAGAGAGATTAATGTCAAGGCCATCATTATTTGTTACTGTACCTAGCCTTGATTAATTAATTATATCATCAATGTGCGTTATTAACCTTTCGCTCTTCATCTTTTCTTTCCTAGTTTTACGATACATTTGATCGATATTTTATGTTTTCTTTCCCTTTTTCCGATTTGTTAACCTTCAATCTATCAATATGACAAAATTTTCAATTATCTAGAAACAATTGTTTCAATTCGTAACCCAAAAGACTCTATTTTATAATCGATATATCAGATTAACTGAAATATAAATCATCAATTCTAACACTCCCACCAGGAATAAAAGTATGTCAATTATCTTAATTTTTAGAAATATAGATTTTAGTGGGAAAAACATAAATAGATATGTTCAGAAATGAAGTTCCTGAAAATCTTCATATTCCTCTCTCTCTCTCTCTCTCTCTCTCTCTGCAACCTTCGATTTCAACATTTAATTACAAGAGGCTAAAGGAGAAAAGAGGATAGGACAGCCAAGTACATTGCAGTTTACCCCATAGCCCACGCACCTGTACAGTTTACCGATAGGCTCTAGCAGTCTGCGTGTGGAAAAAAGGAAGCTGGGGGAACGAAATAGCAAATTATTGCATTCTGACAGAAGCTGAATAAAAGCATCAAAAACCCTGTCTTGTTTGTGTAATGACGATGCCTTGGTTCCTTATTGATAAACATAGGAGAAAATCATCCCCAAACCCTCTCAAAGACTCTTCAATGATGAGAAAGTCTATAGTATGAATGAGTATTTTCTTACGATGGTCAACCAGGC